AAGCTTCTGGTTGGCCACTGTGAGAACAGGATGCTGGACTAGATGGGGCATTGGCTTGTCCCAGTTGGCTCTTCTTATGTTCTTATATCTGTTTCCTTTGAAGGGCAGAGTGCTAGCCATTTACTATATGTGTTGTTGGTGTTTTTTTTCTTATTTGCAAATATACAAGCTGAGCCTGGGGAACCAGGGAAGCAAATGCAATGAAGCGAAAGTAGCACCAATTAACCCCAAAGCAAACAACATATCCCTCTCTCCTCCCACACCCACAACCAAACCGCAAAACTTTGCATGTTCGTTGCTGGTTACATTCCAGTTGCAAAACTGTTTATTACAGCCCCCACCCAAACAGGTATGGCTAGTCAATTGCTGCCATCATTCAAAAGCCACTGAGCAAGCATCTTCAAGTCGTAAATGTCACAGAGGGAGCACATTTAGCTATTAAATTAAACAAAACAGGGGGGGCCTAGTCCAAACATGACTCACGGTATTGGTGTTTACCTTTAAAGGCCTCCATGTTTTGGGAAGGCTTACAGAGCAGAGGTGGGGAACCGCAGGCTCAGGGGCCAAATGCAGCCCTCTGGGTCTCCCTATCTGGTCCTGGCCACGCCCTCCCAAGGCCATGACCCTTACTGCTCCTGCTTCACATCATCCTTGTGTGCATACCCTTCAAGTGTCCCTGTTTTTCCAGGACATTCCCGGAATTACAGAAGCCATCCTGGCTTATGATTTGCTCCCAAAATATCCCATTTCCCCCCTCCAGCACCGCCGCTTCCGAGCTTGGGGAGGACAATGAGCCAGTGCTTGCACTTGAAGCGGAACCCTCATAAAGCAGAACCCTAGTGTGTAGGGGAGGCAGTTCCCCGCCGGAGCAGAGGTGGTGGACAGGCGCAACACTCTTGCCAACCCCTCTCTGCTGCTGCCCAAGCCACCACCTCCACTGTCATAGCAGCCTGAGGTTCAATGTGGGCAGAGGAAGGGCAGAGGAAGGGAGTGAGCAGTTGCCAGGTATGGGCTGTGGCAGGGGAGACGGGCAGCTAACTGTCACAGCAACATGCATCTTCTGGTACTGCTCTCCCACCCAAGCCAGGTGACTTGTGAGATGGCGCAATAAGCATCCCGATTTTCAGCTGAGGAATGTTGGAGAGTGGTGATTTTTTCCCCTATTTTTTTAAAAAAAGTTTAGGGGTACTCTCATTTTCCTACTCATATTGAAATAATGCCCCTCAATGAGGCCAAGCTTAGATTCACAAAATGTTTAGGGGTATGCATCCCCCCAGGAAAAAAAGCACTGTTGGAGAGTACGTGAGTGCTTTTTGCCTGGCTGGAATGTGTCCTTAATCTGTGATCATGCTGGCTGGAGAAAAGAGAGGGGTAGGTGATTGTATGGAGAAACCAGGCTAATGTACAAAGGCAATTTTTACCTTAGTTGCCCAGCCCACTTTTGCTTCTGACTCTACTCACCACTTGTATGTGGCCCCTGTCAGGTTGCCCAGATGGGAATGAAAACAATTCATGTCTCCTTCCTCAGAGACTGTTTCCCTCCCCCACCCCCACCATGAGCCATCATGCCAGCGATGAAGACTTTCTTGTTTCAGTAGGCTTTTGGGAACTGCCTGTTGAGTTGCTGTCATTGAAAAAGGTGGGATATAAATTAGATGATGATGATGGAACCTGCTTCTGATGCCTTCACTGTGTCTACCCAGGAACAAGAGCAGATGCTCTTCTCATGCTACTTTCCATAAAAGATCTGGTTCTCCGATGGCTTTGTTTTAGTAAACTCTAGCTTTTATCATTGTTTATATTAATGTTTTAACTAGTTGAGTTGTTGGATTGAAGCCATTTGAATCTGCAAGAGAGGGCTGGAGAGCACAAGCACCCTGCTTGCAGTGGTTGTGTTTCTCCAATGCTGGTGCCCTTTACATGTGCCTATGTAAGGAAAGTGAGAGGATCTATGGTTTGGAGAAGCCCCAGGGGCTCACAGCACAATGAGGATGGGGAAGCTAAATGGGAAGGATGCTCCAAAGAGAGGCAGGTGAGTTAGAGGCACCAAGTCCAGACTGGGATGGCTGAAGAAAGGGGATAGATAAGAAATAGGTTGAGCCCAGTAAAGACTGGAACTGAATAAATATATCCTGGGGAAAGGGAGAGCTCAGTGAAACCACACCCAGGGCCCACAAGCAGGAAAGGAGGAAAAGAGACAAGACTGATGATCTGGAAGAGGGACTAAGATTTCTAGTAATGCTGAACTATAAAATAACTGAACAGGAGGTAGAAGGTGCCATTCAGAATATGCAACTAGGTAAATCTCCAGGACCGGATGGACTGACTTCTAGATACTACAGATCCTTGAAGGAATGGCTAGTACAACCTTTAAAGGAAGTCTGTAACGAAATAATGGGTGGGAAAAGGGCACCAGAGTCGTGGAAAGAAGCGTATATTACACTTGTACCGAAAATAGAGACTGAAAAGACCCAGCTTAAGAACTACCGCCCCATATCACTGCTCAATGTGGATTACAAAATCTTTGCAGACATTTTGGCTAAAAGACTAAAAAGAGTCCTAATGGAAGAGATACATAAAGATCAAGCAGGCTTTCTCCTGGGTAGACATTTGTCTGACAATGTGAGAAACATAATCAATATTTTAGAAAAACTACAAGTGAATATAAATACCAAGGCAGTTTTGATATTTGTGGACGCGGAGAAAGCCTTTGACAATATTTCTTGGAGTTTCATGAAGAAGAACCTACAGGGGATGGGGGTAGGCCAAGGCTTTGAAAACGATATAAGTGCAATTTATTCAGAACAAAAGGCTAAATTAATTGTAAATAACGTGGTGACGGCGGAATTTAAGATAGAAAAAGGGACACAACAAGGATGCCCAATCTCCCCATTGCTATTTATATCGGTCCTGTAGGTCCTGCTGAATATGATTAGAAGGGACCAATTGGTTAAAGGTATACAAGTCGGAGCTAAACAGTACAAATTGAGAGCATTTGCAGATGACTTAGTATTGACATTGCAGGAGCCAGAATCTAGTAGTAAAAGGGTTTTGGAACTGATTCAAGAATTTGGTCAGGTTGCAGGATTTAAATTGAATAAGTTAAAAACAAAGGTCTTAGAGAAAAACTTAACTGTGGTTGAGAAAGAGAGGTTTCAGAATGAGACAGGTTTAACAGTGGTTAAGAAAGTGAAATACCTGGGGATTAACATGACAGCAAAAAAATGGGAATCTATTTAAAGACAATTATGAAAAATGCTGGGCTGAAGTGAAAAAAGACTTAGAAAATTGGTCAAATTTGAAGCTTTCACTGCTAGGCCGTATTGCTGCGATAAAAATGAATGTATTGCCTAGAATGTTATTTGTCTTTCAAACATTGCAAATTTTGGACAAAATGGATTGCTTCAAGAGGTGGCAGAGAGATATCTCTAGATTTGCCTGGCAGGGCAAGAAGCCTAGAATAAAATTTAAAATACTAACGGATGCAAAGGAAAGAGGTGGATTTGCCCTGCCAGACCTTAATCTTTATTATGAATCAGCAGCTTTTTGCTGGCTGAAAGAATGGCTGCTTCTTGAAAACACAGACATTTTGGACTTAGAAGGTTTTAATAATGTATTTGGATGGCATGCATATTTGTGGTATGATAAGGTCAAAGCACATAAAGCATTTAAAAATCATACTGTCAGGAAAGCATTGTTTAATGTCTGGAGAAGATATAAAGACCTACTGGAAAATAAAACCCCAAGGTGGCTGTCACCGATGGAAGCGAAAGCTCTGAAAAAGCTCAATATGGAGGCCAAATGGCCGAAATATTGGGAAATTCTGGAACAAGAGGGAGGTAGACTGAAATTGCAGAGCTTTGAGAAACTAAAAAACAAAGTGCGAGATTGGCTCCATTATTATCAGATAATGGAGGCATACAATTTGGATAAGAAAATAGGCTTCCAGGTGGAAAAATCAAAATTAGAAACAGAACTGTTAGAACCCAAAACTAAGATTTTGTCAAAGATGTATAACTTGCTGTTGAAATGGAATACTCAGGATGAAACGGTTAAATCTGCTATGATTAAGTGGGCACAAGATGTTGGACATAACATAATGATGGCTGACTGGGAACAGTTATGGACGACAGGTATGAAGTTTACGGCATGTAATGCCTTAAGAGAGAATATTATGAAAATGATATACAGGTGGTACATGACACCAGTCAAGCTTGCAAAAATCTATCACTTGCCCGATAATAAATGTTGGAAATGTAAAGAGACTGAAGGTACATTCTTTCACCTTTGGTGGACTTGCCCAAGGATTAAGGCTTTCTGGGAGATGATCTATAATGAAATGAAAAAGGTATATAAATATACCTTCTTGAAGAAACCAGAGGCTTTTCTCCTGGGCGTGGTCGGCCAATTGGTGCCAAAGAAGGACAGAATTTTCTTTATGTATGCCACAACAGCAGCAAGAATACTTATTGCAAAGTATTGGAAGACACAAGATTTACCCACTCTGGAAGAATGGCAGATGAAGGTGATGGACTATATGGAACTGGCGGAAATGACTGGCAGAATCCGAGACCAGGGAGAAGAGTCGGTGGAAGAAGATTGGAAGAAATTTAAAGACTATTTACAGAAATATTGCAAAATTAATGAATGTTAGAATGATGTCAGAATGAAATTAAGTGGTCTTAGCAGCAATGTTATAAAGGTGTATGTACAAATGGATTGTTAACAGATGAGAATCTAAAGTTATAATATGTTAAGTTAAAGGATTAAGACAAAAACAAAGAGGGAAAGGAATTGCTGAATTAACTAATAGAACTGGAATACAAAAAAGGGAGGTGTGAGGAAGTCAGGGAAGTAAGGAAATGAAATGTAAGTTATGGAAAGATCAATGTGGTTTGTTTTTTTTTAAGTGTTTTCTATCTTTTTTCTGTATTTTGTATTTTTTTCTTTTTTATTTCTTTTTCTTTTTCTTTTCTTTTTATCTATGTAATTTTTTCTTTGAAACTTTAATAAATATCATTTTTTAAAAAAAGATTTCTAGTAAAAATAATATGTTAAAGAAGATGTTGATCCTGCATAAACAAATTGTATGTGCAGCCCATACTTTGAATGCTATGTAAAATTCTGGCATGATATCTCAGAAAAGATATGCAAATGTTGAGCTGGCTATAGAAAAATTTGACCAAATTATCTGCAGGTAAGGTGAGCAAAAGAGACCCTAGAGATTAGATTTTTCCATCTCAGAAAGGGACAGCTGATGACCTGGGCACTATGAATATGAAGTCAGTGTTTTGCATCCATGGCTTGTATGCCTGGTACATATGCATGTGTCTATGAATTATGGGAGTCTATGGGCAAAAGCTTATTTCTTCAGAGTATATTTGCCTTTTATCCTTTTTATCCAAACAACCCTCTTTCATTTCATTTCATTTTGCAAACAACCCTATGCGGTAGGCCAAGCTGAAACGTAGAGTCTGACCCAAGGTCAGCAAGTGAGTTTTGTGGCTGAGTGGGGATTTGAACCCAGGTCTCCCAGGTCCTAGTCTGGCATTCTGACCACTACACCATGGAGAACTGCTGCCAGTCAGTGTGGGCAATATTGAACTAGCTGAATCAATGACCTGACTTTGTAAAACGCAGCTTTCTATCGGATAAGTCCAAGACTCAGTAAAAAAATTGAGCCTAGATTGTCTACTGTAACCAGGTGAACATTCTATTACTGGACCTTTGCTGTAATTAGTGCTGTAAATCCAGAAGGACCCAATTGGCAGGAAAGAATCCCTCCAAATTTAAACTGGTGTAATATGTCAGTGTTTGGCCTGTAACTGTAGCTGGATGTCAGCCCCCGCTGTGACACACCCTTTCTGCACCTGTTTGCAAAGGATAAACTCTGAATTCCACAACCCACTCAATCCCTAGCTGAGTGCCTCAGATTCCTTGTGAGGTGCAGTGCAAGATGTCAGGTTCTCTGCTGCCTGTGGTGATATTACGGCTTTAAAGAACATGTAAGATCGTGGTGTCATCATCATATATATTATTTCATGTCGTTTTTTGATGGAATTGTTGGGAGTAGCAAGACATAATCAGTTTTTTCATGGGCCCATTTGTGTCTGTTGCTCTGCTGATCAATGAGTGAGATGACCAGCAAGGCACGTCTTTGCTCAAGATGTGGTTATTTTCGGAAGTGACAAATATAAACAACGAAAGACTCCTAAGAACTTCCTTCCCTGTTTATTTGCCTTCTAAGGATTCAGATGTTAAAGATCAACAAATGTAATCTAGCTGTAATGGATACCACTTACTATTACTAAACACAGAAACTCAGGTACTCAGGTACTAAACTCAGGTACTCAGGAACATCTCGTGAGTTCCTGTGCTCCAGCATTCCCACGTGTGAAAACTGTAATGCCAGAAGCCAAGGCAATTCTAGTGAGGTTGGAGGACCAAACTGCACATTATGCAGGAGATGTTCTACTGGCGCTCCTCATGCACTTGCTTTTATTTTTAAGCAGTTGAGGGTTGTAAGGTTAAAACTGGGGCTGTACACATGCCCTGCCCTCATCAGATTTAAGGCCCGATCCAGTGCTTCAGAAAGGTCCCAATCTGACTTGGATCTGGGCCCTGAAGCAATTTGAGGCCTTTTAAATTAGGGTTTTGAAAATAGAGTTTTTAAAATAAAATAAAAAGTAAAGGCCTTTCCACCAAGTAATACACATGTTATATGTTGAGTTTCTTGCATTTAGTTAAATTGCATGAGTCAGCACACCCGCAGTATAATAAATGAGCCTCACCCTGAGAAAACCACCTTTATGATCATAGTATCTCTGCTGCCAGTGTGGTGTAACAGTTAAGAGTGTTGGACTAGTACATGGGAGACCAGGGTTTGAATCGCCATGAAGCTCACGGTGTGATTTGGGGTCAGTCACTGTCTCTCAAACTAACCTACCTCAAAGGGTTGTTGTGGAGGAGGAGAACTGCATATATCACTTCCAAGTGTGAAAAGGTGGTCTATAAATGCAGTAAATAAATAAAATAAAATAAAATGTGTGCCCTTAAAAGATGCCCTTACGCTCCTTCGATCTGCTATCCTCATATACCTGCTCACCACACCCAGCCTCACCACTTGCTCCTTCTCCTGCTCTGCAAATCATTGTTTCGTGTTTCATTTTCATTTAGTCCACAAAGGATGGGGGCAGACTCCATGTGATCTCAATTACTTCTCCCCTCTCCCTCCGTCTGCTACTTTCCAACTCTCTCTGCTTCCCACCCACCTACTTTTTGGAATCCTCAGATTACTCCATGTGGACCCAATCTGACTTGTCTAGGGCTGCTTCAACCAGCTCTGGCCAAATCCCAGATTGACCCAAATCGGCCCTATTCAATTCAGGATCCGGCTGGAGTTGGTGCACTGCCCTGGTTCAAATGTTCCTTAGAGGAAAGACGAAGTGCAAATGTAATCAACAAACATTAATTTTGTGCAACTCAGCCAAATCTGTGCTATAATCTGACACCTCGTCCAAAGATGTGCATTCCAAATTATTGCCCAAATCCATGTAGAAAAGCCGGAGTTCCTTACTGGACTATAGCTCATCAGCCAGAGTATGGAAGCGATTCATAGACAACTGGAACAACTGGAAACAGACTGTCTAATCTGTGGGAATAATCAGACAGTATAAATTCAGGCCAGCATCAGGGAAGAGTTAAACACAGCAGTCTGGAAAACTCTGTCCAGATGACTTCCTGATAAAGTTTATACAAGGATAGCTTTGTAGCAGTGTGTGTACATGTGCGTGCGCACAAGGGTGCTTGTGTCTACGTGCCACATGCCCCGAATCAGGGTGGGACGGGGCTCCATACGGCTTGTCCCGAAAGAGCTGCCATTGATCATATCCCTCGTCTAGCAAATTCTGATGGACAAACCAAAGTGATGTCTTTCCCGCCCCTGCTGCTGTGCTCGGTTTACGCAGGCCGGCTCAGAAGGGAGGAGCGCCCGGGAGAGCTTGAATCTTTTTAAACCAGAAGCAGGCAAGCGTCGTGCCCACAGCAGTTGACAAGGGGAGGGTCAGATTGCATCAGGAGCCCACAGCCGCTTCTATGTGTGATGCATTTCCCCACACGTCTTTCTCGGCTGTGGAATTTGTGTCAGACTGCTTCAGCAATGTCAATTGCCGGGCCTGAAAATGTCAAGCAGCACAATTACAGCCTTCTATTTACTTTGGTCGCATGGGTTCCTGATTTCTAGGAAAAAAAGATGCCAGAGTTGAAGTCTGTCTGGAAACAACACCCTCTGATCTGGAAGCTTTCCCGCCTGTTCCTTGATGTGTGTGTGAAGTGTTTCTTGCCGTTGCTCAGAATGGAATGAAACCTTGCCAGGAGGAAGTCTGCGCTTCCCAAACATTTGTTTGCCAAGTAAAGGTAATGGGGGAGAGTATATAACACCCCCCACTCACCATTTATCCCCCACAGCTTCTCCTTTTAGGGCATTTTCCCGTCAGTTTATTTCCAGGCTTGAAGCTGGTTGTGAGAGGGAGCCATGGGGAAAACAGTTGAGGTGATATGCTGAAGGAAAGAACTGGTGGGCAGGAGAAGGGTTAAGCAATATCTCTCACTTGCCAATTTCACCCCTACAAATCGACACAGGACTGAGAATCCAATGCATCATAACATGTAGTTCTGCCCTCCATTGTGAAATAAAGGGCACTCTGCACCTGCTCAGAGGCAACAAAATCAATTTCTACTTCATTTTCGATAGTTGAGCCCTGGCACTGAAAACAGGTGAAAGTCAACACAAATTAAGCTAGGCTTTCCAATATTTCCATTTGCCTGTCTTCCCTCTCCCGTATTTTCTTTTCTGAAGTCTGTTGTTGTTGTTTTTAATGTACTACGTTCATGGTTTCGCTCTCCATTTGTTCCTCTCAACCTCCCTGTGAGGTAGCTCAGGTTGAGAGAGAGCTATTGGCCCAAGGTCACCCAATGGCTGAGTGGGGATCTGAACCAGGGTTCCCCCAATCCTAACTAATCTGACACTCTCCCCATTACATTATGTTGGATTAAGGGCCAAGGTACTTAGTCACAAAAAGTTGTAATCTGAGAAGCGAAACCTGACCCTGGTGCTGCTTTTGCTGCACTGTCAGAAGAGGCCTCCTTGGCCTCTCCTTAGTGTGGAAGGCACCTGTGCTATTCTGTCAGGTGGGCAAGGAGGAGGTGGAAGATGTTCACAGCTACCTCTGAGCATCTCCCCTGCATCTGCTTTGTGAAACAGCCAGCAACCACGGGTGACAGAGCTCAGGATATCGACCAATGGGTAGGTTCAGAAAGATCTGCATACACTGCAGTTAGTTATGCTCAAATCTGTCATTGTTGCTTTCTCTCTGTTTCACAAATTTTCCAGGCTTAAATTCAGTTCTCCACATTTCCACAGCAATTTGTGAATTTTGTTCAAGGCCTCATCAGCATTTTATGCAAATGTCTCCTGATATACACAATTTGGTATGCAATTTTGCCTAATATACACATTTTTTTGCAAAGCAATTTCCTCATATATTTTCATAGAATTGTAGAGATGGAAGGGACCCCAAAGGTCATCTGGCCCAACCCTCTGCAATGCAGGAATTCTGCCCACAGCCGTCCCTGGGTGGGCTCACCAACCTTTTGCTTAACAGCCAGACACACTGACCCATTGCACCACCTGAGGGAATTGCCAATTTCGTTTGCTATTTTCACTATTATATGCGCATATATATATATATATATATATATATTCACTAATACATGCATTTTTATTCAGCATTTGCCCCAGTGTATGCATTTTAGGACACATTATATGGCTAGAGAACCGCAATGCAAAATTCGGAGAAGGGTGATTTCAAAGGATGGTTGAGTTACAGATCATGCATTGTGTGAACTAGGTAGGTTTGCTTTTAAATGTGATCTGAATGGGATTTCTCTCGCATCCCTAATTGCGGCCCACTGCTGCATGTTTATATCTCTGGATTGTGGCCAGAAGTGACTTCAGCCTTCCACGAACATTTCACTGTGCATTGTTCCTCATACACTCCATTTGAGCTGAAGCTGTAGAGACCACAGCTGTTCACCTTGCTTGCACTAATTTTTGTTCAGCCTGTACCCACATCTGCCTACAATTAGCAGTCTCCCTTACCTGGATCCCAGCCTGAAGCCTGCCATATATGCACATCATGTTAGCGCCGATTCCCAACATGAATTGCAGCCTAATATAAATTTCCCTCTACTGATGTGCAGAGGGTCAAAACGTAGGCAGATTCTTTCTCTATTACTTCATAGAATTCAATCACTCTCAGCATAAACAAGGTATTTGAAAACGGTGTACAGTGAACTAGGAATACAGGCTGCCTGAGCTCACAGAAATCAGTGTGGAATTCAACGGGCTTGCGTGCTGACCCCAAACGCTAAAAAACTGCTACGTAGCCACAAGTTGTCAAGTAGGACCTGCTTGTCACCAGTCCACTCCCTTGGTTCTAAATGTTGGTAGCACAGTTCACATCCTGTTACCCTTCAGGCCAGCCTTTCGTTTTGTGTTGATGTAATGAAGACACAACAGTTAATGTGATATGATTACTTTTAATTACTTTTCATTTGCTTTATTATCCACCCTTCACCCCAAGGTCCCAGGGCGGGTCACAACAATTTAAAACGCAACACTGTGATCACAAGAATTTTGTGGGTCCTAAAAATGTACGTCTTATGTGCTAAAGGACAGGATAAATAGGTGTGCCTTCAGCCTACAACAAAATCTGACAATGTAGGGGATGGCACAAAGAATGCCCTCTGCTGGACCAGCACCCCAAGCTTCTGAAGGTGGTGGAATTACAAAGAGGGCTCCTCCTGTTGATATTAACACCCAAGCAGCTCTGTATGGAGATCTTTTAGATTTGGGGGCCATACATTTAAAGCACATGGCTTCCCTCAAAGACTCCTGGGAGTTGTAGCTTATGAAGGGTGCTGAGAGTTGTTAGGAGACCTCTATTCCCCTCATAGCAGGGGCACCAACTCCTAGGGGCCCAGCTCTTTTGAGTCCGCCTAATAATTTGTGGGGGCTCCCCCCCCCATGTTAAAAAGAAGCAGGGGTGGAGGGGGCCAAGTACGGAGCCAAGCACAGTGCAGTTTCAGTGGCCAGCTCCTTCTTCTCCTCCTCCTGCCATGGAGGTGAAGGAAGGGGGAAGCAGCCCCAGGCTGATGGCAGCGGTGGGAGGAGGAAGAGGAGACCGAGTGCCGGAGAGGAGGAACCGCCAGCCATTGAAGCTGCGCTGCCTCCCCTTGCTCCTCCCAACATCTTGACAGCGTGATGCCACATTGCACATTGTGTGTGTGACATCATGCGCGTGACATCAAACCCCACCCCATCTCCCTCACATGTTGGCACCTCTGCCTCACAGAGTTGCAGTTCCTAGAGTTCTTTGGGAAGAGGGATTGTTAAAGCAGTGGTAGAATGCACACACATTAGAAATGTGTATGTGTCACACTAAAAAAAAGAGCCGGCAGAGAAAGGAATCTTGCAATGGGCTTGTGAAGTAGCTGGGGGTTGTGCAAACGCAAAAAGAGTGCCATCACCTCTCCCCCACCGCACACAGACAAAAGAAATCAGCAGAAGAAATTTGCCAAGTCTCTGTAGTCAAGGGGTATTTTTGCACAATGTCAGCATAGCTTAAAAAAAAGAAAGGAGGACAAAAGAGACAACAAAGCAGAAACTGGCCAATAGTTAGGAAAGGAGGTTTATGCCCTGAGCTAGTCTTGGGTCTTTGGGATGTTCTTTTAGCACTTTAATGAGGTACTAACTTAACACACACACATACAACAGGAAATTCCTCTGTTGCTAATCAGAGGCAATGGGTGACAGGATGAGATGCAGACACAAGCAGCTCCTTAAGCAAGTATCTGTGACCAATCAGAATGGGGAAAGCCAAACGACAGCGACCTGGGCATCCCCTGAGAGATTTGTTTCAGTTTCACTGGCTTCCTGCAAGGAACATCTTTTGATTGTAAATGGAGGTGGTGTAAAACCAAGGCAGCAATTGGTCAATGATGATCTAGGGCAAAGAGAATGTATAAGCAACATAAAAGAGGTCTGGGGAAACAGGCAAGGCCGATTCAGTTTCTTAGAATGGCAGAGGGAACAGCAAAACAACAAGATGGGGCCTTCCCCCTGGGCCACACAGCAGAAGTGTCACTCACCCATGACTTGACTGCATGCAGTTTATTCTGGGAGTAGAGTCCACATGATCTTCATTAATAACCGAGCAAACAGGGTACAGATGAAAAGAAACTTACCAGATAATCTCTCAGGGAGGAAAGTAGAGATGGGCAAGGAAATTACTTGCTGCTGCTGTTGTTTATTTACTATGGGGTGTCTGAATGATGCAGCAAGCACTGCTGACTGCTGGTGGAGTGTCATTGCTAAGATGTTGAGCTTGAAGGTCCTGGGTTCAGATCTCACCTCTGTAGGTGGCTCAGATAGGCAAGACACTCTCTCTTAGCCACAGCTATTTGCAGAATGGAAATAATAACACTAACCTTCTTTGATTCTATGACCTACCTTGTAGGGTTGCTGTAAAGATTGCAGAAAAGTTGTCTGTGCATCATTTAGATTTGTCAAAAAGCAGTACCTAAATACAGTGGTACCTCAGCTTAAGTACTTAATTTGTTCTGGAGGTCCGTACTTAACCTGAAACTGTTCTTAACCTGAGGTACCACTTTAGCTAATGGGGCCTCCCACTGCCGCCACCGTGCCGCTGCCGCCACGGCGCAATTTCTGTTCTCATCCTGAACCAAAGTTCTTAACCTGAGGTACTATTTCTGGGTTAGCGGAGTCTGTAACCTGAAGCATCTGTAACCCAAGGTACCACTGTACTATTTTATTAATTTTAAGCCACCTTGGTTATTCTGTAAAATGGTGGGGTATACATTTTGGAAATAATTAAAATAAATAATCAGTAATAAAACAAGTGTTTTCTGTTCTCCAGATATATACCTACTGCTCCTCCTAATAGTTCAAGTTAGTGTATGCTGTGCATTCTCACAACAACCCTGTGAGTTAGGATGGGCTAATAGACAATGACTGGTCCAAGGACACCTTGTGAGGATCATGACTGAGTGGGGATTGAAGTCTGAAGATAATACCTGCAATGGATTTGACTGTCACTTCCAAAGAAACGTTTTTAAAGTGTGAGGAATCTCTGTGTGTGTGGAGGCTAAAGCAATACAGAATATGCAAGAGGTTTCTTTTATCTAATACTAACTATAGAAATGTGCCAATTGTGGCTGACGATACTGGGATGTAGGGGGGGTGAAATTGGTCCTTGCTGCAGTAATAATGTCATCAGATAATTTCACAATGAGTTTCAAGCCGGATGTGTCTTACAGCTCTTGGCTCTTCCCATTCAATCCTTCTGTCAGTCATAACTACCACATGCCAAGTTTTGGACCCTGCTGAGACACTTGGAATGGTTTAGGGGATGCTGTTGATTCGGCAGATGATGTATGGTCCAGATGGTCCCCCATCATTTAAGGCGGCTGTTTCCATTTGTTGGCGTCATATAATTTTCAGCGGAAAGGTGATTCTTTCTCCCTACCAGATCCACCGCATATTATTTCCCAGGCTTCACAGTCTTTAATATATAGCACGCAAGTGCTGGTGAGAGAAAGGAAAACTCAGTGGGAGAGGAGGATATGCTGTGCATCCTGCACTCAGGCACAGGGGCAAGCAAGCACCTTGGGGCAAACAGGCCGTAGTCAGACAGGGTGAGGTCGGGCAGCTGGCAGACAGGCAGAAAATCAAGATAGTTCAGATGGAGAATTGGCAGCTTTCCTCAGCAATAAACTGCCTAGGCCAAAGGAAGACAGCAGACTGTGCCCCATCCCGCCTGCTTTTTTATTATTTTGGCATTAAGGACAAAACTTTACAACTCACCAATGTGAATACAAAACATACATATTAAATTATGCCATCAATTATGCTGGCTTCCTATAGCTCTGCCCATTCCCAGCATAAATAAATTG